GGACTTCAGTATCTATTGAGTGGGGTCCTGGTACACCTCTCCACACTGGGAAGGGCCGCATCCAAGAATTCGGCGTGCACCAGCAGTAGCAGCCAGCCCTCCCTGGCAGTGGCACGCCTCCAGGGCAGCCGCAGGATCCAGAAACCTCCATTTGTGAAACTGCCCTGGACTGCTGGTAACCCTAAACAGGTTACAACTGAAGCAAAAGAAAATCTTCTGAGGATAGCCAACACTGTTGTAGCCCTGGAATTACTTCTACTGCTGTGGATTGAATGTCCCCCCAAAACTCACTGAAGCTTGATCCCCATTGCAACAGTGTTAAGAGGGTGAGAAATCCACTCATGTATTTGAAAGGTGGGGCCTTTAAGAGGTGGTTAGATTGTGACAACTGTCCCTTCCTGAATGGATTGATCCTTTCATGGTGTAATGGGCATGGTTCTGATGGCTTTTATAAGGACAGCAAGTGAGAAAGTCAGCTCTCTCTTGCTCAGCCAATTCTCACCATGTGACACTCTGATCACCACAGGACTCTAGAGAGCTCCCACCAAGAAGAAGACCCCCACCAGATGCGCCCCCTGGACTGTGGACTTCCCAGCCTCCAAAACTGTTAAGAAATCCATTTCATTTCTTTCTAAATTACCCAGTTTCAGGTATTATAAGCAGCAGGAATGGCCTTACATCTACAAACCATTTTCAAATATAAGGTCTGGAACATAATCAAAGAAACCCAGACACACAGCACAGGAGAGACTGCACCACAAGAATGGGAACTGGCAGAAAAAGCAGAACTAACCACTGACTGCAATTGAGCCACTCTGTGAAGTCAAAGGGTGCACCCGGTGAAGCGCACGCCTGACTGCCCGGGACTGGAGTGTGGGCAACTGCGGAGCTGACAGAAGAGCAGCCACCACACCTGCTGATGTCCATCAGAAGCAACAGCCCAAACAATAGCCCGTTACAGCCCACACGCGTTTGCTGATGAACAGCAGAGGCCTCATTAAGACAAACAGACAAATGTCAGTTTCCAAGATAAGGCTGAAGTGCAGGGTCACCAAGTGCTGGTGATGTCTGTAGAGCTCTTGCAGACGTACAAGTCAGCAGTGGACTGGGGACCTTCAGTCATCTACAGTGGTGTGTTAATGTGTGAAATTAAAGCAAACAAGTGTTAAGTCAGTTTGCCTCAAATTGGGTGTTACTTGGCTTTATCACTTGCTTCTGAAACATTCTTGCCCTTATTTAAATGGGAGCTCACAGCAGCAAATGTAGTTTAGGACAAATAGCCCCTGCAGTCCCCCCTAGACACGCGTGTCCAGGAGCTGGGGAGTTGTACCGTACCTGTGCGAAGAGCATCCTGAGAGAGAGCAGAACTCCCATTCTGGGTCATATTTACTTTCAAATTGGCATGTATTTGAGCCTAGAAGATGAAACTCAAAGTCAGTCCATGAGGCTTTGCAATCGTGTTAAGACATTTTACTTGACCCTTGGTTGAGGAAATGCCAAGCCATTTTCCTTCATTGACCTGTCAAGGTGAAGCTTCTCTAATTCAAGGTATGGAATCATCTTTCATAAAGATCAAAAGGGGGTCAGTGGGTGGCAGGAGGCTGGAATGGGAACAGTACAGGGTGAGGGAGGAGGCAGAGGTCAAGGTCATATAGAATTCTCCCTTCTTTGCACTTCATCTCTCTCTCTTTTTTTTTGCAGCCAGCCGGAATGGGGATCTGAACCATCTCCTTCTACCACCTATGTCCAGACCCCACATTGACCCTAGAAAGTTGAAGAGAAGGATGCACACGAAAAATCTTAACGGAATGCTTGGGGATAATAACAGATACTAAAGTGAATTAGCTGCGCCCCCTGCTGTCCAGCCCCACTTCGCACCTGAGCTGCCGCCCAGCCTGAGCTGCGAGGAAACAGGAGCCCCTGTCATCCATTCAGCGACTAAGCTAAGGGGGCGGGTAACACCAGGATCACCCAGCCCCTCACATCTGAATGAATCTAGCTACAACAACAGCCACAATGCAAATAAAGAACCTTCCAAAATTAAGGGCAAGAGCCAGATCAGGTCCAGTTGCTGTTTGCTTTCTACGAGCAGCGCCTTCGCCAGGTTCCATGAGCACAGTTACCTTTTCACAGGCTTTTGTCCAATTCAGCCGAGCAATAAAGCCAAGAAAACACACGGCTTGGGAGATTATACAGATGACGATCCCTGACCACAGACCTAGAAACAGAAATATTTTTTAATGGAGGTTAATTTGGGGGAAAACCAGCCACCCCTGGGGAGCCCGTTTCTCCTACATCATGACAGCAGCCATACTGAGAATCTGCTTTCATGGCTGAGGCAGAGCCCGCAGCGGGCCGGGGACCTCTACCCAGCTCTCCCCTGTCCCAGAAGATCATCATGACTACACTGTGCAGCCCAGGCATGTCATAGGCTGTACCGCCTTGGCTGTGTAAGTGCACTCTGTGACGTCTGCACAACAGCAAAATCACCTAAGGACACAGTTCTCAGAAAGGATCCCCGTCATTAAGTGACTCATGACTGCCTTTCTGCCCTATTTTCCTCAAAAGGGGGGGCTGACATTTTTTTAAAAAGCAGAAGTCACCAGCCATGTGAAGTTGCAATGCTCCCTCCCTCCGAGCTTCCTGCCGGCCTTAACTTGCTCTGAGCACGGGCTTCACTGGAAGCTCCCAGGGCAGGGTTATGCACCTGGACATGGGTACAGAACAGCAAAGGAGGGGCTGAGTGGGACTGCAGGAAGGGAGAAGCCTCGCAGACCTCAAACCACCATACAGGTTCCCCCCATAAGCCCACACAGGGCACAGAAGGAGACCCCAAATGATGAGGGAGGTTTTGTCAACAGTGAACTAAAGGCAAAATCAAAAGCTCTACCGATAGCCGTGAGAGACTGAATATCCAGACGGACAATGGCCAGATCATCCACAGCCTGCAGCAACCGGCTCAAGAAAACAACCCCCTGTCTCAATAAACAACCCACGTGCCAGCCTCCTAGAAATTAGACTTGCAGGAGGCAGATTGCTGTCTCTAGTGACAATCCAGGACGCTAAACAGTAACTTCTGTAACAGTCAGCCCCAAATAGCCAGGGCTCGATTAAAAACTGACAGCTTCCCTAATTTGGGGGACTTCCAGCCAGAGAAAGTAAAACATGTACCCCTAACCAATCACACAGGATGCCCCCCTCCAGCCAGCCACCTCCAGCTTCCTCAGGCCGGCAGCCTCCAAGCAGGGCACAACTGAAGCCCTCCTTTTCTCCCCC